CCATTGTTGCATTGGGGGAAATAATTCTGGGACAAGTAGGATTAAAATATATCTCTGTCAGGGCTCCAATGTATCCACCCCCATTCAAATCATAAGTCTCTAACTATATCTCTCAGAGTGTTAGCTGGATGCAGTCGATACTAAAATATATCATTCATTTCCCCCTTTGACCCTGTATGTATATTCTCCAATAGGACGCATCCATAGCAAAGAGTCATCAATCATGCTCTCCAGTAATATTCTTGTGTGACGACAGCATTGGTCTGCCAAGGCGATTATCTGAGGCATTTAAGGAATGCACTGCTTTACCCACTGCCTTTCTGTTGGCAACTAAAAGACCAAAGGAGTATTTTTTAGCTGACAATCTCACCAATTTGGAAATCTACACAAGTTGACCCAAGTCCCTGGGGAAAGAGTCAGAGGTACCATGTTTCCCAGAAAAGAAGACCGGGTCTTAGTTTCTCTTGGGACCCAAAATAAGCACCAGGTCTTATTTTTGGGGAATGCCTTCCCCGCTTCCCTTAGGAGCAGTGTAATCAGGCCTTCTACACCCTGACACCTGTCGTGATGCTGCCAGATATCTTATGCAGCCGCTCACAGCTGTTCATGGTATGAGGCCACCTGGCTTATTGTGCTGGTGCTGCCACTTACGGCAGGGCGCCACACCGCCCATCGTGCCAGTTCAACTGCTCACGACAGGAGGCTGCGTGGTGTATTGTGCCATTGTGCACATGAGGGGCGGCACTGGAGCAACATGCCACACAATGTCCTGCTGTGAGCAGCGGCCCTTGCGCCATGCACCACGTGTCATCCAGCCACAAGCAGTCAGAAGCAGCCGCAGAAGAAGTCGGGTATCAAAGAGACAGGTTTTGGGGCCGGGCTACGGCAGTCCTAAGGTAAACTGGTTGCAGGGCAAGTGGGGCAGCTCCACCCCCTCTACCCCCATCCTAGCATGATTTTTATGTATGCGCTTCACCCCACCTCATACAACCAGCTGATGAGTGGGACTTAACTGGGGCTTTTTTGGGGGGGGGTGTTAGAGCTTATATTAGACGCAGGTGTGAAAATTGGTCTAGGGCTTATTTTGGGGTTATTTCTGGGGGTTATTTTGGGAGGTAGGGCTTATATTAGGCACAGGCAGGAAAATTGGAATAGGACTTATTTTGGGGGTAGGTTGTATTTTAGAGGAAACACGGTAGAAGTTTTCTCTAAAAACTTGTTCCCCACAACCGCAGCCCTGTGAGGGAACTTGGGTTGAGAAAGCACGACTGATCTTAATGGGCTTCCATGGGTTGAGAACTTGATTCTTCCTGTTGCTATTCCTTCTACCAGGTCTGGACTTAATGGCCTCGTCCCTCTCTGCAACCAAAGGTTCGCCTACCTCTTAGGATATTCCCAAGTGCAAAGGTCTGCTGGAGAGAACCATTCAAGGATTTGTGTTGGATCTGGCAGGTCAGCTGAGACTTCATATCTCCTTCCTCCAGCGGGATTTCTACCGTGCTCTCTGCTCGGTAGGAGATGCTCTGCTTTTCATCAGAATTCATGACCCTGGTCTGGACAGCCAGTATTTTTTTCCCATCCTTCCACCAGCTGACCGTGATCTCTTGTGGGGAGAATCCCTCTGTGGAGCAGTTGAAGGCGGCCTGAGAACCTACAGCGATTCTTCTTGTGGGTCCAAGAACCACAGGTTGGGATGGCTTTGCTGAGGGAGAAAGTAGAGAGAGAGAGAGACATCAGTTGACGTTCCTCACAGACAATACAGGAGAACACGAGATGGTTTTTGGCTGGAGAGACTCAACTTTGAATGTGGGAATTACTCCCCTGTGTCTCATGGGTGACTGGGAACACCTCCCTCCACCCCTAGAAATGAAACGCAGAGGGCCACTTACCAATTACAGAGACCAGAGAGCCCTTCCCCGAAGCCAGCTCTCTCTCTTGGACCCATTTCAGGAACATCACACAATAGTAGGTCCCGGCATCTTCAGGCTGGACATTTTGGATGTTGATGCTGAAGTCTGTGTTGGATCCTGGGATGACCCTGACCACCCGGTTGGAAGCTCCTTCTTTATCATTATTGAAAATGGGGGTCTGTTTTCTGTCCGGCCCTTTGTACCACCGCATGTTTCCGAATAAATTTCTTCCAGACAGTGTACACCTTAGAGTGAGGGTCTCTCCAGGATTCACCAATATGGTTTCCGGAAGTTGGGTTACCTCTATATTCTGCCCTGTAACAACTGAAACAAAAAAGAGACACTTTTGTACCTGGGTTTCCTCTAGAAAGTGGTCATCGCTCTTCTAGAGACAGAAATCTACTGGGGGAAGAGGTGGGTTGCTGCAGGTTCAGACCGGTTCGCCTGAACCGGTTCTGATTCTGTGCAGTTCGGAGAACCGGCAAATCAGACCACCGGCTGGCTCCATCCCTGCCCATTTTTCAGGCCATTTTCTAGGGGTTCATATTCCCCATTTCTATTTTTTTTTAGCAACCAACTTGTTGTGAAACTATGAATAGTGCGGCTTATTCTGCTAAATTAATATCTTATAATTGGCCTGAAAACAGTCTGAAAAACTGCCTGAAAATGCCCCAAAAACCCTGGCTGCGAGAGGAAGATAAACTGCAAAAACTGTACAAGTGATATAAAATGATGAAACATGTTTAATAAAAGTATTACTGAAAAAGAACAAAAGATATGCTTCAATATTTACAAAATGTGAGGGGGGTGTACTCACTTCTGTGATATACTGTATATATTAATCACTGCCCATTTTGAGTACATAGCAAAAAGAGGAAACTTGAAAATTCACAAGGTTGATGCTACATGGAACAAAACTGTGGCTGGAGGTGGATGTTCTGCTTCGGGTACCACGAAGCCCCCTCCCAGAAAGGAACAAGAAAACAAATTGTGAAGAGGGTTGTGACATGCCAGACAATCCTGCGGACCCTGCTCACACATTACTTATACGCTATGTCCCGGTTAGAAGGGAGTGAACTGCCAATAAATAAGAAGATCAAGAATGATAATGTCAGCTTCTGTCGGGTAGTGGACACTTTCCACAACAAACCACATTTCTCATAGATAAAGATGTGTGATGTTAGAGTTTATTGCAGTTCTTCCAATCACAATCAGCAACAACAACGGCACTCCGTGCAAAGTCAGCATTGCGAGCAACTAACTCTCCATGCTCTCCCTCCCAACTAACCTAACAACCGCCCATTATCTAATCTTCCACACTCCCGCCCTGTACTTAATCAATTACGCCTATCTACTCCCTTTTCTCCTACCCCGTGTAGATCACCCCCTATCTGGTTACATCCCATCCTATCCTCCTCCCTGTCCAACGCAGTATCTGCACCAAAGAGGGAAACACAGAAATAAAAACAATTCAAAACAATCCACCGTCCCCTCATCACGCCCTCTAACTACCGCAACACCACGGCTCGCACGGGATATAATCTATACAGAGTAAATTCCCAATATGCCACAATGAGGAATGTTACAAAGGATTTTGAAAGAAAAAGAAAAAGTGAACAATCCTGAGATTGTCTAAACTGAAAATTGAAAATGTGGATATAATTGATGGCACAGTAATGCCAAACTGATGAGGCATTTGACTCCACCTTTACGCCAGCCTAGTCAACTCCTACAGCTAGGTGTTTTCACTTCCCCATCTTGGTTCCTCCCTCCCTAAATTGTTTTATAAAATTTACTAAATTTTAATTCCATGAGAGTTGTAGGGCCTGGATTTTGGGTTCGTTCTGTAAGTTAGTCTAGTCGAGACACCCTGGATTAAAAACTATCACTCTGTGGTGCACTGTTGCACCCAGTTAACGGTTACATACAGACAGAAGAGGACAGATTTAGTAGTATATAGATATAGAGATGTAGATGTTGATAGGCACAGTTGGGAAAGGTGCAAAACAACCCACTTCAAAAACAGAATCCCAGATTTTAAAAGAGGGGAGGGGGAATAGAGTAATTCTCCTTTGACAGAGTTGTGAGGTCGGGCCTGAAGCACGACTTGGAAAACAATGGATTTTCTCAATCTCTTACTTCCTCTTCAACACTTAACAACTTTTCAATCAGGCAGTGAAAAGTGGCAATAACTGGTGGGCTCTGCTTGGACATTAGTTGGCCTTAAGTTGACCCCACCAGGGAGCATAAGCAGAGATTAAACACCAAGGTGACGACTACCTGGCCAACAACCAAGCCATGAGATGCCCCAATCTCAGACAAAGAAGCTAACAGGAAACAATAGTCCAGTCAAAGATGGTGTGGTCCCAATATCTTGAAATCACCACCCCAAGGATCAAATCAAACCAGAAGGTCCCAGTTGATTCCAGAGCTCTGCTGTTCTTCCTCACTTGTTCCTCACGTAGCCACTTGGGGTGGAACCAATGAAAGAAATCTTCTCCTCCCCCAGGGAAATCTGGTCATCGCACTGTTCAGAAGAGAACATCAAGTTCAAAGCAACCTTAATATTCCTCTTGCGCTGGATTCTACACCAGTTGTAAATCCGAAAATAGAACCTCCCTCATCTCCATTATCAACACTCACCCAGATCCTGCAGAAGAAGAAGCAGCAGTAGCAGCTGAAGAGGACCAGGGATTCTCTTGAAGGACCTCAAGGCAGCCATGCCAACCGCAGCAGGAGAAATATCGGGAGTGACTTTGCATCTTACCCACGAAGACTTTCTTACAACAGGAGGGGAAAAAGAGGAAATCTCATTTCCTCATAAATTCGGATCATTTCTCAAGTTTGAGTTACAAAGGAAGTGACCAATATCCAAACAAGGAGCTGATAGAAATTCACAGGAGTCCCACTGACTGGTTCATTGGTTGACTCCAGTGATTTGGAGGTTCGACCAAATGACAGTCGGACCTGGGCTTGGAATTAGTATTTAGTGTATGACAATCTCTAGAAAGCCAGGAATCTACTATGTCGGAGACAGTAGATGTTTAGTAGCTGATGCGACCCAAAAGTGACCACCAAGTGCATCCAAGTGTCCACCAAGACATATCCAAGTGGGTGATGTCACCGTTGTCTGGAACACCCCATGGGGGCTCTCATCCCTGCCTGGGTTCCCACCAAAGTGAAGCCTATTTATCTACTTGCATTTTGAGATGCTTTTGAACTGCTGGGTGAGCAGGAGCGAGTGGCGGGAACTCACCCCGTCACGCAGTATCTGGGTCTCGAATTCGAGCTTGCTGATCATCAAGCTTGTCTTCTAACCCTAGAGCCACCGTGCCAATTGCAGGCATCTGGCAGTCAGCAGAAGTAGCCTGCAATACCGCACTCTAACCCCTGCACCACCATGGAGTGGTAGGAACTTAGTCCTAACGTTCATTGGTTGCAGGAAAACATCTATAGAACATACAAATTCACCTAGTAGTTTCCTGGGGTTTTGGGGGGGTATTTTTTTTTTTTTTTTGGAAATTGGAGGTTCCGTATTTCTAAAATGGCAAATGGGGGAAATGATGAGATTTGGCCAGTAAGGAGAGCCTGCAACTTCCGTATTTTTAAGTATAGGATGCACTTTCCCGAACAGGCCGTGGTGAACAGGCAAATGAGCTGAGACCGTGGAGAATGGGCACGGGTGAACAGGTCATGGCGGCGGCGAATGGATGGCGGTTAATCGGCTGCGGCAAAAAGGCCAGATGAATACCGGTTGTATGCTGGGGGGCAGAGGAAGATTTTTCCCTCTTCTTTTCCTCCCCAAAAGCTAAGTGTGTCTTATACTACAAATGGGCAGAGAGGGTCAGGGCCAGCCAGGAGCATGATTTGCCAGTTCTCTGAACTGGAGAGAATCGTAACAACCGGTTCTATAGAACCAGTCTGAACTGGTAGAATCCCACCCCTGCTTAGAACTATAGAATTAGGAACTTCAAACATGGTTCCAAGCTTTCCCTGAGGTGTCTGGAGAAAATAAGATAACCTTTGCTGCGTGTTTTTTTTTTTCTGTGAGCACACTGGCACACGTTAACAATGAAATCCTGTTCCCTGGTGTTGAGGTATTCCCCATTAGGAGAATGAGTGCACGTCGTGAGAGTGGTGAGGAATAACACCCAACCAGCATACAGATACACTGAATAGTCAAATGTAGGTTTTACTTCCAGTAAATGGGTAAACAAAGTCCAACAAACAGTCCAAATCATGCACGGTTAAAGCAGTTAGTATTCAAAACAATCAGTCCAGGGATAATCCAAAAACAAAGTCCAGTATCATATGCAAAGTTCAGGAAACGGAGTTTGCTAACAGTTGCAAAAACTCATAGCAACCCAAGTAGAATGATGATCAGGAAAATATGGCAAAACAGGAAATGCATGAAGAACAAACCAGGTTTCTGGCTCCATCTTATGGCCGTTGGAGGAACCTCAGCCAATCACAATTACAGCATTCTCTTAAAGATATAACATTAAATAACTATCCTGGTTTATATATTTCCAACCCAACTGTTAGGTGACTATCATTCCTAACAGAATGTACAAGAGTGTACATATACATAACATACATATACACATGCTATGTACATACATAAATATATACCTGAACCATATATATATATGGTTGCACCGGCACGAAGCCGAAAGCACCAGCCTGAGGATGGCGAGTGGGACCAAGATACTCTTAATCTTACATGGGAAAAGACCTGAACGCACCTAGACCTACATACCTGTATTTTGTACACAATACAGAAGCCTGATGATGGCAGATGAGATTCTGCTGAAATGTTGCTACAACTTTAAAAGCACAACTATAATGACGTGGGAAAATACCCCAACAAAGCTGAATACCATACTCACACACACACACACACACACACACACACACACACACACACACACAAATATATATCAATATTGTGGCTCCAATTCCCAATCCTGTGCTGTTAGAGGAAGAGGACTTGGAAGATGAGGAGGAGGAACAGGGAATGCCTTCCTCCCCAGGACCTTCCTCTCTGGCAATGCCTTCCTCCCTGATAATGTCTCAGGTTTCATTAGACAACCGAGAGGAACAGCCTGAGATTAATCAGGAGGAGGAGGGCATATTGGAGCAGCCCCTGATAGGGAGTCAAGA